ACAGTGTCATTTCAGAAGATAGGCTAGTGTTCAGTCTTTGTGGGTTGTTTGGCTTTTATGGCTTGTCCTAGCCGTTCGTTAGGATTGGGGTTTCAGGACAGCGGTCTAGATTTGGCCTTTTCTGTGCCTAGATATTCCCCACTCCTATCTTCCGGAATGAATTGTGAGGTCCCCGGCCTCCTTTTGAGCTTTAATGAGAAGCCCTATAATGGCCCCTTTTGGGGAAAATAATAATAATAATAAAATACGACCGCACGCGGGTGAAGTCAAGATATCGACACTCGGCAAGCAAAGAAACGAGAGAAAAGAAAACAACACTCTCTTGCTCACTTTGCCCCCCGCCCCCACCCCTTGTCCCTTTCTAGTCCCCGTTCAAGACCGGATGACAGTAGATTGACAGCTCACGAGTCCGAACCCTGGCGTTAAAATTATCATCATAGAGATAGAAAATTAATCACGGAAACGGAAACGTCACCTTGTTTTCTCGTCTCTCGTTTCGTTCCTCGTGAGTGCAAAAGGAATCGTCGACTACCCATCTTCCCGCAAATAGAACATACGATCATGAAAAATTATTTGGGGGGCAACTTCAAGTCGATATACAGCCATAATGACCGTACGCAGGTGAAGACAAGATATCGACACTCCGCAAGCAAAGAAACGAGAGAAAAGAAAATAAAACTCTCTTGCTCACTTCGCCCCCCGCCCCCCCTCCCCGGCGGGATGCAGGTCGCGTCTCAACAGACGACATACACTACGACCGTCTTAACCCGAAGAGAACTCCCGCTGTATGTAGACTGAAAGTTGCCCCACATAGAGCTATAATGACCGGGCTCCACCTCACACGATCGAGTGGCCTCACCTTTCCCAAACAGGAAAGTCGCCGTCGAGATCACTCACTCAGCCAGGGTCCTCAACCGGACAATGACGTGGAACGTCCTCGTCTTTCCCAAATGGGAAAGTCGCCGTCTAGATCGCGCATCCAGGCTCTAGCTCAAACGATCGAATGACACGCGGAGGCACTGCTTTTTATAATTGCGAACTACCTTCTTACCCTGTCCCCCGCCATACCCCCAGCGGCCTTCCCCAAACGACGGAATGACAAGTGGAGCCCCTGCCTGATCTTCATTACAACTCCCCTCCCCTCTCCTCCTGTTCCTCTGTCCCCGCTTTGATGACCTGTCCTCCATTTTTCGTCATCCACCCTCCATCCGAGCTTCCTTCCCTTACGTCCCTCTCCACCCCCCCCCCCCCTTCCCCGGAGATTCATCATTGACCATGTATACCCCTCCACGCTAGCAGATGACTTTTCCTCCCCTCCCTCCCCTCCCCCCTCTTCAACCCGCCATTGCCCACCCAGTGATGTTTATGATCAGAACCCTCCACTGATGGGCACGCGCCCACGGTGACGACTCACAACAATTACTTCCTTACCTCGCTTAATACTCATCTCGCACTGACGACTGATGGTAATCCTAGATGATCGCCGCTATCATAATCATGCTTCATGAGACAGACGAGCCCCTTGCATCTCTCTCTCTCTCTCTCTCTCTCTCTCTCTCTCTCTCTCTCTCTCTCTCTCTCTCTCTCTCTCTCGCTTGGGCAGCTGTCGGATCAGATACAGCCGGCTATCCGCACGTACATTCTCCTCTCCGTACGAAGACGACGAGCATTGGACTTCTTCCACCTTGAGCTCTCACTCACTCCTGTACCAGCTACGAGGACGATCTACCGCGACATCAGTCGACCAGGGATTTGTTAATTGTTAATCGTTCATTGACACCACAATCTGTTTTATTTGATAATAATTACCGTTATTACCAACATGATGATGATGATGATGATGATGATGATTATGGTCATGATGGTGATGATGATGACAATTAAACAGTAGTAATTTACAGTTCCAACGGACGATTGATTCTGTGATGCACAATCAAGTTCAGCGTTCTTTGACATCGATTGTTGGATTCCCCTGGGCCAAGTCCATAGGATAAACGTTATAGCCCCCACCCGAACCAGCAATGATCATTCGTTGAGACCTCAGATTACTTGTCCTATTAAAGGAAAACGGGGGGGGGGGAGCACTCCCCGCTTCTGCCACCCATAGACAGTTTTCCTTTTTTGCTTATTTCAATTTGGAAAACAGAAACAATCACATCCAATGGAAGAAGACGAAGTCATCCATACGTGGCAGACAGAGAGTCACCTTCCTCCGTAGCCTCGAACGCATTCTTCCGCCGAGGCTCAGGGTGCACTCATACGTAGTACTTCTCTTGGCATATCCGACCATAATTAACGGCCAAATTCAGTCGATGCGACCTTTTGCTCCGCCAAAACAATTGGCACCCGGAGTCCACTTCCTACGCTTCGTTCGGTTCAGGACCGCCCAGCAAGTGCCGGCCAACCATTTCTTTTCTGTTTCCTCTTTTTTCTTCTTTTTACCTTTCGTCCTTTTCTTCCTTTTTTCTTCCTTTTTTTCTTTTGCCGTCCAACAGTTTTGACCATCTACACATTGGGCGGGGAAGGAAGGAAATTTTCGAAGAGATAGAAAACAGCCTCTAGACAATCCACGACCATCCATCTATGGGAAAAAAATAAATATCAAAAAATAGAACCGGCAGCAAAACTGCCTTCAGATAATCCATCCAATCGTTTTAACCAGGCAGTCCTCTTGGCTTTGAAGCGAGAGTATTTTCAGACTCGGTTACCTTTTGGTCACGCACCCTGCCTGATTAGCGGAATGCTCCATCCCCCAAGCACTCTGCCCATAATGAGTAAACTGGTCATACATGTATGTATACACACACACACACACATACCCCTCCCCTCGTTTGACGTTCTCTTCTTCCTCTCTGCCTACGGTACATATTTATACAAACATATGCATATCTATCAATTGTCACACTGTGAATCGGAGCGCAAAGGCGGAAAACAGCAAAACAAGGAAGGGAAAGAAAAAAAGTCAGGAAGGAAAGCCCCACCTGTTCATCACCTCCTACGTACGAGGCCAGCCACGTGGATGACAGGTTGAGCGCTGGCTTGCCCCATCCCCGTGTGTCACAAGGACCTTGTATATATTGTCATATCCTGGTTGGTCATAGTCCCGTCCTTTGGCCTGTGATGCAGGGGGCGGTGCTTGCATGTGGGACTTGTCAGCTCGGATCTGTTATGTTTGTTTCCCCCTGTTTTGTTATATTTGGCTGTTCCCTTCCTCTTTCTTTGTTATATTTGGCTGTTCCCTTCCTCTTTCTTTTGGGTGTGGGGGCAGCCGCCGCTCAACCTACATCCACGTGGGCGGCCTTGTACGCAAGAGGTTCTGAACAGGGGAGTTGTATAAAGAAACGAATTGATTTTTTTCTTGTTTTCCTTTTGTTTTTTTCGCCTTCGCGATCTGATATTTCTGTGACGATATATATTGTCACACTGGGAATCAGAGCGTGAAGGCGAAAAAAGAAAAACAAGGAAAGCCCCACCTGTTCATCATATATGTCACTGTGAATCATACATACACATAGTCAAACAGAGCTGCCAGGTAAACCGTAGGCAGAGAGGTATCGTCGAACAGAACTGCCCGGTAAACCGTAGTCTCTCTGCCTACGGTTTACCGGGCAGTTCTGTTTGTGACGATATGTATATATACAGAGCGCCAAAGCGAAAAAGCAGAACGAAACCAAGGAAAACAAAAAAAACTTAATTCGTTTTTAATCTTCTTCCTCACAACTCCCCTGTTCAGAACCTCTTGCGTACAAGGCCGCCCACGTGGATGTAGGTTGAGCGGCGGCTGCCCCCACCTCCGTGTGTCATATCGTATATGTATTATATATATTGTCACAAGAGTATATTATGATAAACAAATCACTAATTACCCAAACGCAGTAAAGAAGCCAGTTAATCCATTAAGGGATCGCGTAAATAAATCCAAAAAAACAGAACTAAAAGATAACTGAATAGGCGAGCCAACAAAGAAAGGCTCGACTGACCCAATGATGGTATGGATGACAGCACAAGCATTTTCCCGGAGTGAATCTCGCTACAAATGCAATCAGATCAGTCCAGGAAAGTCATCACGTAAGCATTGCCCCTCATCAAGAAAGCTATTACAAGAAGGATCATAGACGACTTCATGAGCGAGTGGACAAGAGAGAGAGAGAGAGGAGAGACGAGAGGACGGACAAATCTTGCCAACTTCGCACAGGAGCGAGGAGCAGACTGCCTGCAAAGTCCATAAGAGGCACAGAGGAAGTAAGGAAGAGAGGGGAAGAGAGGGAGAGGAGGAGAAGGAGACAGGGAGACAGGGAGACAGGGAGACAGGGAGAGTGGGTGCCCATAACTCAATGAATGATGGCACGCCAGGGAGAGGAAGAGAAAGGGGGCCGTCGGGCGTGCTAGAGTCCAACTATAAAAGAGGAGGCAGACGACGACGAGGAAGAACGAAACGCACCTAACAGGATAAGGGGCAGACAAAAGGGAACAGGTAGAGAGAACCTGTGCAATGAAGAGAAGAACCCGACGCGGACAGGTCGACAGATTTCCTCTATTAAGAAACAAGAAAAGAACGACGCAGGAGGGCAAGACCGTGAGGAGGGCCAGGGAGAAAGGAAAGACGAAAGAGATGAAGGGACCACCAGACCGTGAGATTAACAGGAGGTAGAGGTGACAGAGAAGGACAACAGATGGAGGAGGGAGCATTGAGAGAGGGAGCTAGAAGAAGATGAATGCGTGGAGTAGCAAGGGAACCTAAGAGGACAGGAGAGTGGAAAAATATGGGAGGGAGAGTACGAGGGATGGAGAATATGAGAGGCGGAGAGGGAGAGTATGGCAAAGGGAGAGTATGAGAGAGGGAGCGAGATAGGATGAGGGAGAGAGAGAGTAGGTGAGTAGTGAACAAAAAAACGAGGAAAATCATAGATGACAGAGAGAGAGAATGAGAGGAAGAGAGAGCGAGAATGAGACGGCGGAGGAGAGACAGAGAGAGAGGGAAGCAAGAGGCACTAACTGACATCTGCTGTCCCCTCGGGCGTGCTGAGAGATCGACCAAGCCATTCCGGGCTACCAGGACGACGCTGAAGCTGCTGCAAAGCCGTCTTGTACTCTTCAAGAGTGGCTTGGAGGCGGCGATTCTCTAACCTTTCCCGCTCCAGCGCACTTTCCGACTCCACGCACTTCTCCTCGCGAGCAGCGGCGCTGGTGGAATGCTCCGCCCTCGCCTGATACGCTTCCCATGCCACCTCTGCTATCTCCGCAACGTGTACCGCGACATCCAGCGGCAGATGCCCCGTTGAATGATGGCCTTTCGGCGACACCATTGCTCTCCACTCCCGCCCGCTGAACTTGAAGAGAGAAGAAGAAAAGATCGCTGCTTCCAGATCAAGAAGAAAAAAGATAAGGTGACGAGGATAAGATAAAACAAAAAGACCGCTTCTTCCAACTCCCCGACTCCAACTCCAAGTTCGGATCGAGCTCTAGATCACCAACCACCACGTGTCCCAATCACGAGCCAAAGCGCGTCGGGATGTAAGAAAAAATAAAACCACATTCACAACAATTACAATATGTATATGCAAGCGATGCCGCTCGGGTCGGTATCCTCACCACACCAATCAATCGCGACCACCTCCCGCGCAAATCGCGCCCCTAGCCGTCCAGATCAGGCTTCATATCCAGACTGATCAGACGGCTCTGCTCCCAACCACGTCCCGGCGCAATCAATCATAACCACAGCATGTACCATTGTTTGACGAATTGCTCCGACTATTACATATTACTATATTATTTTTAATATCGTTACTATAGGAGATTCGTAAAAGAGACACCCGCACCGGGCCGAAGAGATGGACCAACGTCGGTACACGTGGCGACAAGAAGTGGTGGCTCGCTCGAGGCGTAAGCCTGCGGAGGGATAGTCGCTCTCGTGAATGAAGGAAAGCGCAGCAGCGCGGCAAACTGAGCCAAACGGAGCGAAAAGGATCGAAACGGAGCGCAATAAGGCCGACCCCTCGGTTGACAGAGCAGGTGAGCTGACGTGCTGCCTTCTCGTAGCGCGACGTGGCACCGCACACGTGGCCACCATGGCACCCAATATAGGAGCAATCATCACCTATCTGATGGGCTGAGGCGTGAAGGAAAGGGTGGTCTGGAACACGAGGTGACTGTTCGCAGGACGGACACCTTGAGCCTGGACGAGACACGTTCATGCATGTCTGTCATGTCTACCCACGATCCGAGGCCCTGGTAGTCAGGTGCAATAAAAAAAATAAACAAAGTGCGGGGATACGAGTTCATATTCCTATTCCTATTATTCATACTATTCATTCAAACTCTAGGATGCTCTGGTAGTCAGGTGCAATAACAAACTGGTGCAATAACAACCTGGTGCCGCGCAGCCATCAGGGAGCGAGAGCCGTGTTGAGCGCATCGGTCCCGCAGAGGGGACCCTCCCGGCTGCGTCACGCAGGATTTGCAGGACTTCGTCGTAGAGCGTTGCTGCTCCAGCCAAATGCGCCACTCATACCTCTCGCGAACCCCTACGACAGGATAGGGTTATGCAAGGTACAGCTTACCTCCACCCGTGGGAGTTGTCACCATCTCTTAGGTGGGCGTATCCCCGCCGAGCTACCAAACCACATGCGAAGGTTTTTCGTATGCAATCGCAGAGGTGGTCCGGTCGAGGGCATTTCTCATTCGTTGTAGCATAGTACGAGAAGGTTATTGCCCGAATCGGACCCGTGTGCAAATCGTCATCTGAGGCACTAATCTTTCGAACGCGGCCCTATGACGCTCCAGCGCACTTTTCGACTCCACGCACTTCTCCTCGCGAGCAGCGGCGCTGGTGGAATGCTCCGCCCTCGCCTGATACGCTTCCCATGCCACCTTTGCTATCTCCGCAACGTGTACCGCGACATCCAGCGGCAGATGCCCCGTTGAATGATGGCCTTTCGGCGACACCGTTGCTCTCCACTCCCGTCCGTTGAACTTGAAGAGAGAAGAAGAAAAGATCGCTGCTTCCAGATCAAGAAGAAAAGATAAAAGTCGAAAATAAGGTGACGAGGATAAGATAAAACAAAAAGACCGCTTCTTCCAACTCCCCGACTCCAACTCCAAGTTCGGATCGAGCTCTAGATCACCAACCACCACGTGTCCCAATCACGAGTCAAAGCGAGTTGGGATGTAAGAAAAAATAAAACCACATTCACAACAATTACAATATGTATATGCAAGCGATGCCGCTTGGGTCGGTATCCTCACCACACCAATCAATCGCGACCACCTCTTGCGCAAATCGCGCCCCTAGCCGTCCAGATCAGGCTTGATATCCAGACTGATCAGACTGCTCTGCTCTCAACCACGTCCCGGCGCAATCAATCATAATCACAGCATGTACCATTGTTTGACGAATTGCTCCGACTATTACATATTACTATATTATTATTAATATCGTTACTATAGGAGATTCGTAAAAGAGACACCCGCATCGGGCCGAAGAGATGGACCAACGTCGGTACACGTGGTGACAAGAAGTGGTGGCTCGCTCGAGGCGTAAGCCCGAGGAGGGATAGTCGCTCTCGTGAATGAAGGAAAGCGCAGCAGCGTGCCAAACGGAGCCAAACGGAGCCAAAGGGAGCGCAATAAGGCCGACCCCTCAGTTGATAGAGCAAGTGAGCTGACGTGTTGCCTTCTCGTGGCGCGACGTGGCACCTCACACGTGGTCACCATGACGCCCAATATAGGACCAATCATCACCTATCTGATGGGTTGATGCGTGAGGGAAAGGGTGGTCCGGAACACGAGGTGACTGTTCGCAGGACGGACACATTGAGCCTGGACGAGACGTCTATGCATGTTTGTCATGTCTACCCACGATCCGAGGCCCTGATAGTCAGGTGCAATAATAAAATAAACAAATAGACCCTGGAGTGCGGGGATATGAGTGCATATTTCTATTCCTATTATTCATACTATTCATTCAAACTATAGGATGCTCTGGTAGTCGGGTGCAATAACAAACTGGTGCCGCGCCGCCATCAGGAAGCGAGAGCAGTGTCGAGCGCATCGGTCCCGCAGAGGGGACCCTCCCGGCCGCGTCACGCAGGATTTGCAGGACTTCGGCGTAGAGCGTTGCTGCTCCAGCCAAATGCGTCAGTCATACCTCTCGCGAACCCCTACGACAGTATAGGGTTATGCAAGGTACAACTTACCTCCACCCATGGGAGTTGCCACCATCTCTTAGGTGGGCGTATCCCTGCCGAGCTACCGAACCACATGCGAAGGTTTTTCGTATGCAATCGCAGAGGTGGTCCGTCCGAAGGCATTTCTCGTTCGTTGTAGCATAGTACGTGTGGTTAATGCCCGAATCGGACCCGTGCGCAAATCGTCGTCTGAGGCACTAATCTCTCGAACGCGACCCTAGTTCGGTCGACTAGGACGGTCAAATCTAACCACGCGATTTATCTCACTAAAAAAGTTATAAATCAAACTTCATACGTAAATCGCGCCTAGTCCCTTTTCCATACTTGACCCATACAAAGAAGATTGGACGAGTATAACGCGCGAGGCGCCGAATAAATATCGTGACGACTCAGGTTTTAGTCATATTGACTAGCCCTCCATGAATACGCAAGCAGTCGCAGTGATTTCATACTATCTAGTACCCATAATCACGTGGCCCTCAGTGGTCTCGAGGGTCTCATTCAACACTCAAGTGTCGGCTAACATGCGCCTTGAGGGATTAATCTTTCGACGTTAGACAACCGCTAAGGCGGTTGAGAACCACACCTGAGAATCACACCCTCTTCTGCACCCTACGAAGAGTGGGTGATATACAGGCTCCGGACTATTATGGCGGTCTACCTTTATGGTCATGAAAACGATCTTCATCATTGAGGTTTGACAACGAGTCAAAAGGTTTGACTTTGACGGCCACCACAAATTTTAACGTCCGACTATAAAAATATAAATAACATAAATAAAAGGAGATTTTTTTGTTTTCTCTCAATTCAAATCTGATTCAAATCTTACGCATGGTCAAAGTATATCGTATATTCATTATATAAATATAATGGGATTATAGGACATGAGGCAATCACTCTCAGTATCATAGTGTGGCACCCTTCAAAATATATACATAATCGCAGGCGAGGTCAATCTTGACCTCAACTCACAAATCATACCTGCAATCACATCAAAGGTTCAACATTAACAAACAGGCACTACACGGGGTCGACTTCAACCACTCTCTGTACTCATATCCCTTGCCTTATCTACAGAACCCCAACCTTTGTCAAACTTTCCACAATAAAACACTCGGTCTTTTTTAAATGATCATTTAATATAAGTCAGGGTAACCCCTGCAAAGAAACAATTCAACTCACAAGGGCTAAGGTTTTAGGTTGAGTAGCGAGATTTGAATAAGAGTTGAGATGCAAACCGACATGTTATCAAAAGATAACAAAAGACGATCCTCGTAGGATCAGGTTGAAACTCGTCAAAACTTGGGTCAATCCAAAATAAGAGTAACCTGCAACATAGCACAAGTCAGTGCTCAAGCTACGCTAGAGTAACTTATGAAACAATCTTACCTTCCTACCTCACCTCTGATACTTATCTAAAAGTGTCAAAATTTTCGACAGTATCCCCCTTACGCGAGAGGAGACTGTCAAACTTTCAATGGTCATAAAAATATTCTAACTCCTTTGGATTTCATGAAATTATGGCAGCGCTTTCCGTAGGAAAAGTGCATTTGTATAATTTATACTAGCTAAGCGTCCACGGTGCGGACGGTGCGGGCCACGCCCGCAGAAATAAAAGTAACTTGGTACGAAGTCCAATTTTAATTCACGAATCAAAAAAATAACAAATTTAAAAAAAAAAGTAAGAGAAAGGGCGAGGAAAGACAGAGATAGGAAAAAAAAAAGAAAAAAAAGATAAAGATATATAGATAGATAGACATAGAGAGAAAAAAAAAAAAAGAGAAAGGGAAAGAGAGAGAGAGGGAGAGAGAGACAGAGAGAGAGAGAGAGAGAAAAGATAGAGAGA